CTGATGATTTTCGTACTTCATCATCTTTGGCATTGACTCATTCTGACAACTGCAGAGAAGAAGAGAGCTACCATTCTTGGTGGATCCTCTCTACCAATAAGAGCTGGAGATGGTTTCAGGGACAGTGCTCTTTGGTAGCAATGATGACGACAATGACACAGGAAATGTCTGCATTTCATAAATTTAGCACTTTTGGATTGCTGAGGACTACCATTATACATTACTTTCTGGTTGAGAGGAAAATGTATCTCCCTGACATTGAATCCTTCACAAAACAAGTGCAGTGCTTGCCCCTGGGATGACAGCAGACACAGGACGATACACCCAGAATTTTATACAGTGGTACGAGAAGTGCCTTGCCAGGTGCTGGGAGACACGCCCAGCGAAGTCTGCAGGGCCCTAGAGTCCTCCATAGGAAAAGGCAGGCTGGAATTCAGCCAGGTGAGCTGCAGCAGCTGGTCAGCGCAGGGAGCATCGCTGGGGCCAAGGACAAGGCAGACAGGAGGGAGCAGCGTGTGGTACATGGCATGGTGTCATGTCTTGGAGTGGGTGGTAGACCACCAAGTTGCTTCATGGTGTGCCAAGTGCCTATGCTACAAGGACCTACTCCAGGATCTCAGGTAGGGGAGCGTATCGGCCCCAAGTGTACACTGGGACGTTCGCTGGCACTGAGTAGAGCCACAGGGCACAGAGCAGAGAGAGGCTTTCCCACTGCCTGGGCAGAGGGGGAGCGCAAGAGGGCAGACTGAAGCCAACATTTGGGGTGGAAAGGGTCTGGTGTCCAACTGTAGATGGACATGTCCAAAGGACACCCATGTTTTTGACATGAGAGCCAAGAGAACAAGAGTGCTGCCCACCAGAGAGGGTATACAGAAAGAACCGACAGAGTGGTCGCTTCCTCAGCGGGGCTGGCTGCTGCACTGCCAGCTACTGCAGAGTCAGGACACGCCACTGCCAGAAGTGAGGAGACAGGAAAGATCATTAGATACAGCACTGAATTGCCCACAGTCGTCTGGGTATGAATGGAGACACAGGCCTAGAGCTCAAAAAGAGGTCTGGGCTAGAGAGGATATTTGGAAGTTTAATACCAGTGGATAAGACGAGAACAAGGGAAGTGAAAAGAGGGCCCGGGAGCTAGCTATGGTCTGAATGTTTATGTCCCTCCAAAATTCATATGTTGAAACCTGATGTCAAATGTGACGGTATGAGGAGGTGGGGGCTTTGGGAGGTGAGTAGGTCCTGAAGGTGGAGCCCTCACAAATGGGATTAGTGCCCTTATGGAAGAGGCCAGCGAGAGACTTCCCACCACTCTGACACATGAAGACACGGCGAAAAGGCGCCCTCCATGAACCAGAGAGTGGGCCCTCGCCAGATGCTGATTCTGCCAGCGCCTTGATCCTTGACTTCCAGCCCCCAGAAACGTAAGCAATAAATTCCTATTGTTTATAAGGCACCCTATTTACGGTATTTTGTTCCAGCAGCCCGAACAGACTAAGACAGGAGACAACCAACTATGAAAGACCAGACTGAGAGAAAGGAAGCAAAAAAGCAGCAGCTCTAGGTACAGGAGGAGAATCAGAAGAGGGTGGTATCGAAAGACAAGGGAGGAGAAATCAACCATGACAAATGTCAGAGGGGCGCCAAATAGTCATGTTCTCGCTGAAAGGGAAAAGCCATACACAATTATTTAAGGGTCAATCAGTTTTTAGGAGTAACTCAAGCCTGCATAAAATCTCCCCTTCAAATTGTTAGAGAACAGGCAAATACGGAAGTGTACAGAGAACCCACAGAGTGGTTGCTTCCTCAGTGGGGCTGTCTGCTACACCGCCAGCCACTGCAGAGTCAGGACATGAAAGGAGCTTAAAGCTTCGGCACTGCACAATTGAGTTTGTGCAACACTTTCCCACACACTCTCGACTTGGCGTTTCTCTCCAGATGTTCTCCTTCCTTCTACAGGCAGCCAACAGAAGAATAACTGAATGGGATTCTTCTATGTTTAATCTTTTCAAATGGCCTTCTTAACGCTTATGCTGAACTCAAGCTAGACACATTCTGTCCAGACTCAGTGCCCTTCACCTGGCTCCTTGAATGATTCCTAAGCGTTCTGGCTGGAGAGGTGCAGGGTTACTAACACTGCAGTGGCAGGTCGGCCAGAGACATGATAAGGAAGGAACTCCCAAACTCAAATGTTCTAAAGCAGCGCTCGCCAACATAAACAGAGGATGAGCCACATCTGTATTTTCAAATTTTCTAGTAGCCACATTAAGAAGTAAAACAAATAGGTGAAATTAATTTTAAGGCTATATTTTACTTAATCTAATATACCCAGGTATTATAATTTCAACATGTAATCGATATAAAAATTATAAATGAGGCTAGGTGCAGTGGCTCATGCCTGTCATCCCAAAACTTTGGGAGGCTGAGGTGAGAGGATTGCTTGAGGCCAGGAGTTTGAGACCAGCCTGGGCAACATATCAAGATCCCAACTCTAAAAAAAAAAAAAAATTAAAATATTAGCTGGGTGTGGTGGCTCATGCCTGTAGTCACAGCTACTCAGGAGGCTGAGGCAGGAGGATCCCTCAAGCCTAGGAGTTCGAGAGTAGAACAAGCTATGACTGCACCACTTCACTCCAGCCTGGACAACAGAGCAAGATCCTGTCTCAAAGATAAAATAAAAGTTAATTTAATTTAAAAATTATTAATGAAATATTTTATAGGGTTTTCTCCATACTATGCCTTTGAAATCCAGTGTGTATTTTATACTTAAGGCAGGTCTCAATTTAGACAGGCCACGGTTCAAGTACTTAATAAGCTACATGTGGCTAGTGGCTACCACCTTAGACAGTGCAGGTCTAAAGGGGATCTATGCAAACAAAAGAGTCCTGATTCAACTAGAAAACCTCTAAGAAAACATTCCCATGCCTGAGTTTTCAGGACAAGGTGAAGGAGAGACAATTTCCCTGAATGCAGTTATCAATTTTAAATAAGTACTTCATTCACAAATGTACAAATAAGTACTCCAATCACAAAAAACGTCAGCAGGAATGAGAGAACCGATCAAGGAGAAGGTTGCAGGTCTGGCCTTGGGAAAGCTGGCAACCAGCCAACAGGCCTGCCACCAGCAGAGTTCCATTCCTAATAGTCATTACATCTTCATGCAGCTTTTCCACTTTCTTATTTTAATCTTTCAAAAACCCTACGAGGAAGGCAGGATCTATCCCATTTTTCAGATGAAGAAACTGAGGCCCGGGCAATGTAAACTACCTGCTCATTTCCTGTTACCAATCTTAGACTTGAACCCAGAACTCTGGCCTCACTCCCACTCCAGGCTTCTTTAACAAGCAGCTGGTCAGAAATAGCCCAGAAAACCCAAGTGAGACCAAAGTAAATATGTATCTACTGAATCACTAAACAAGTCCCTATCTAATGGCTTTTTTAGAGACAGGGTCTTGCTCTGTCACCCAGACTAAAGTACAGTGGTAGAATCATAGCTTGCTGCCACGTTGCATTCATTCTTGGGCTCAAGCAATGCTTTCGTTACAGCTTCCAGAATAGTTACAACTACAGGTGTGTACCACCACACCTGGCTAATTTTTCTTTTCTTTTGTTGGGATAAAAATATGTTGTCAGGCTGGTCTTGAACTCCTGGACTTAAGCGATCTTCCCGTCTAAAGGTGCCCAGTTACCACCTGGAGGGACTGGCTCATCCACAGTCACCTGGGACCCTCCTCACCCTCTCTGACAAGGCCTGATTTTGTTCTCAACTCTACAAGATAGTGGCTGCAGCCAGTGTGACCCCTGCCCTTACTAATCATATGTTCACATATACACTGATACAGAGCATGACAGTGTGATGGGTCAGAGAACACATATCCTTTTCCCTGTTTCAGTCTGGCTGAAGAGGAACTAAAACAAGGGCTACCTGTGGGGTCTGGCCTTTCATTTATTTATTTTACTCATTTCATGGTTTAGGCAAGCCTAACAATTTGGAATTTCTTGGCTCTTCATGACTAGCTAAAGTACATGGGCTCCTTGGGTCTTTAACTGGGCCAACGTTAAATAACAGCTCCTTATAGCTAACACATTGACTTCTACCCAACAAGGGGAACCCTCCTGGCTGATATACCTAAACATTGCTGAATGCAAGAAGGCAATGGCCCAGAGTCAAATTTTAGTACCAAACAACCTGGCTCTCAAGGTATTGATCACATTAAGGCAAAAGCTTACTTATTCTCAAGGGAACATAAGTGTATTGCAGATAAGTAAACAAGAAGCTTCAAAATACCACCGCCCGACCCCCAGAGTATTGAACACTTTACAAAGTTCCTTCACTAAGTGATTTCATAAGATGATCACCACTACTCTGTACACAGGTAAAAAAAGAAACAGAAACCCAGAGGTTTAAAAAGGCACTCCCACCTTGGCTCCACCATAGACCAGGACACCTAAACATTACAACATTGTCACTAAGAATCAAGGACCCCTTTCAGAGGACATGAAGTAGCTTTTTACTTTTCCTTTATTTAATCACATTTCAAGTACATCCATGCTAAGGAAGTCCAGCCAAACAAAAACATATCCCTTCACCCAAAGGATGAAAAAGTTGACACATAGGCAGCCCCCAGCTGCCAGGGCTCAGGGACTTCTAAGCACACCAGGTCACCTTTCCCATCAGGAATTCAATGCTGAAGGTCAGCAAGTTTCTAGCCCAGAAGTGTGGCGGGTTATTTCTAATATGTGATTTGAACAGTCTTGACAGCAGCCACGATGGCCCCCAGCCATGCCACAGCCCTGCATTCCAAGAGTCCCAGATGCAAAAGAAAGCCAACCAAGACCCCCGCTAGGAACCACTTCCGCACAGCAGGCGTGCCATGTCCTAAATGCAACACGACTGCACCCTTCCCAGTGGAACACGAGCTTTTAGAAGAGGAGGAAGTCAGGGAGGAAGAGGAGAGAAAAGAGAGAAGCAGAGAGAAAGCAGCAGTCGGCGTCTTTCTTACTTTTCTGGCAGTGATTGGTGGTCCAGCAGCGGTAGTTGTACTCGTTGTTGATGGTGGTCTTCTCGCACATCGGCTTCTCCTCCATGGTCCCCGGACACAGGTCCCCGCACTCCTTCGGGGGCTTGTTCCCCACAATGTAGTTATTGGACACCGCATCCAGGATCAGGGACCAGTCCACAGTAGAGAGGTAGCAGAGGTCCGCATTTTTCTCAATCCTGATGGCCCCCCGAGTGATGTTCCTCAGGTTGTAAAGCCCAATATCTTTGAGATTCGTCATCTCAAAGATGACCAGGGCGTAGTTGTAGAAGAGTTTCCAGCCACGGATGACCGTGAGGTTTGGGAAGAGGTCTCCGAGGCTCTCGAGGCCGGCCACTCGGAACAGCAGCAAGTACTCGGTGATGACCGTGAGCTTGGGGAAGCGGTAGCTGCGGTAATCCTCTGCCTTGGAGATGAGGAGGATGTGGAGGTAGCCCTCGATCACTGTGCAGTTCTCCAGGCGCTTCAGCTGTTGATAGTCGTTGCGGATGTCAATGCCCGGCCCACAGACTGAAGGGAGACAAGAGGGTAAAGGCAGGACATGTCTTAGTTAAAAGGGAATAATTTTCAATACTAGTTTCCAACCAATAATATGGTCAGCTTTCAAGAAACCTAGATGGTTAAAGAAATAAGGCTCAATTCTTCAGTCCAGGCTAGCCTGAGGTTGACTATCTGGGTAGCTGACCAGTTAGCTGTCATTCAGGAAGTGCCTAAACCAGACGCGGTGCAACACGCTCACCGACCCACGGTGGGAGAGGCCGTCCCCAACAAACGTGCCCACTAAAGCTGAGAGCCCAGGGACACACAGGCGCACACACAAATGTTAAGGCTGCCACCAGGGCCAGCCTAACTGTAACTGCACACTCCCCCTGTCTCTTTCGCAGAGGGCCAATTGCCAATGCCTGAACAAAAGCTCAGCAGCCAAGTATCAACAATTTACTACTGCATCCAGCCAGAAGGACACCGGGCCATGACATCGACACTGGAGAACAGTCACTGTGACCTGGGAAGTGGGGATTCAAAGAAGCATGCTCCAATGCTTCCTGCTACCGCTGACACTGGCCACATGGCCTCAGCATTCTCCCTGATACTGCACTAACGTGAAGTAAGGGGTAACCTGAGAGAAAAATTTTAAAACGTGATATTTTTAAGTAATAAAAGCAGCATACAATTCCAACTTTAATAGTTTTCTTAATCAAGAAAGCATGCTTCCTGTAGAAAGGTTAGGTAATAGCAAAAAGAGTAAAAATCAACGATCTCAACATCCAAAGATAAACATATACCTATACCAATTATCCCTCCTCTATAAATAAAAGCAACTGAAATCAAACATTTGTAAACATACTTTCTTCACTTAACATGAACATTTTATCATGCCAATACATGTCCCTCTACATCATCATTTTAAGAAGGTGATACTAATTCAAGAGTATGTCTATGCACCGTGAGTTCTTTTTCGTTTTTTAACCAATCCTCTATTATTGGACATTTAGGTTATGTCCTGTTTTGCACATTATAAACAACACGCTAGTGAACATTCTTAGATATCCAAAACTATTTCCTTAGGATAAATCCCTGGAATAGGAATTGCTGGGCCAATGCATTTGCCGATTTTAAGATTTAATAATCCCCTAATCTACTATTAAAGCTTCTCAGGTTGAGTGGAGTTTTCCGATTGATGTAATTCATTAATTTGGGAAGCATCCAACATGTATGGGGCTCCATGGTGGTGAAGGCCAGGAGCGAAGACCTGTGATAAACACCTGTCACTCAAGGCAGGATGCAGTCAGTGGTGTGCACACAGTAAGTCCACGCTACCTGGGAACTGAACTAAGCAGGACAAGAGGTGGCACTGGAGGGAAGCTCTGCACATACACAGGCTCCTACAGGGTGGGTGGGACTTAAAACTGGGTATAACATTCCTAAGGCCAGGAACAAGGCAGAACAAGATATATCCATGTGACAGCAGCTCTGACAGTCAAGGATGCAGAGAAGAGCAGAGGAAATGAGTTTGGTCATAAAGTAATGAGAACTTTCATCTCTGAGGAACGAGGTCCCTTCTCAGGACTCCTGATGGGGAGAGCAGCCCAGGTGAGGCCTTTTGGAGGATTAATCTGGCGGCCGAATACAGGATAGAGTAAGTGGAGTTGACAAGAGAGAGAAGAGAAGTCCCCACTGGGCATTACGGCCATAGAAGGAAGGCAGGGCAGAGATCGAGATGGGAGGGAGAAGAGAAGGGACCCAAGTGTGGAGCAACGGGCAAAGCCCGCAAACCTAAAATGTGAAACTTCATTTGTTCCAATTCCTTCATTCTACTGATGAGAAAATGACACCCCTAGCACAGAGAATGGAAGAAACCAGGACTCGGCAAACCCCCACATGCCACAAAGAGGCTGTGCCAGAAGGCTGTGACCTGTCATTTTGTTTCATCTCCTGTGACGCTCGCAACAGTATTTCACACTAGGTAACATCATCACCATTCTGAAAACGAGAAAACAGATTTGGAGAAGTCAAGTCACTTATACAAGGTCACATACACAAGACACCAGCCCCTGCACAGCAAAATTTGATGCAAGGTTCATCAGTAGTCCCAGCACTCAGCAGCCTCACCTCCTGGTTACCTTCAACCCACTCTGACTGAGCTTCCGTCCCCGTGATTTAGGTAAATCACTCTCAGCAAAGCCCCCAACAACGAACGCTGTCAAAGCCAATGACAGTTCCCTGTCCTCATGGTACCTGCCGCCTCTCCAGAGTCACCAGCACTGCCTCCTCCTCCGGCTTCCCTGATTCCCACTGACCACCCCCCTTCTACCTGAGCTCAGCATCTAAATGTTGGTGGCTCTTTTCTGCCAACTCCTCCAGGCAACTGGCTCCCTGTGCCACCCATACTCTGGATGATTCCAAATGCAGGCTGCCAGCCCACACTCTTCTGAGCTCTATCTAGAGTAGAATATCTACTTGCCTACTCCACACTGCCACTGAGGTGTCTGATAACTCATTTCCTTCCCCCACCTCCCAAGCTTCCATATCTCAGTCAATGACATTCCCATTCTCTGAAATGCACATGTCAAAGATCAAAGAGTCATTTCTGATTCTTCCGTCCCCTCACGCTGCGCAGAGCCAGTCCAGCAACGAGTCCTCCGGGCTCTAGCTCCCAAGCCTACGGGAATCTTGGCTGCTCTTCCCACAATCACGTCAACCTCATTCCTCCCTGTGCGCTCACTGCTCCTCTACGACCCCACGCGCTTCCCTCCTGGGGCGTGCCCACTCTCTGCAGGACCCAGCTCTGGCCTTTCTCATCGTCTCCCACTGCACCCCTCCCAACACAACAGCAGCTCCTGGAGGACAGGGAGTTATTTTCTATTTAGTTGATAATTATAACCCCAGTGCCTCAGTGCACAGTAGACACATCATGTAACACAATTAGAACGAATGGATGTCACCACATCCATGTGTCTCCACTACTCTAACTCTGGTCTGCGCCACTGTCCCGTCCAGCATTCCCCAGTCCATCCCTGAGCCAGCACCAGCCAACAGGACTCTACAAGAGCCTCCAAGCTGCACCATGCCAAGCTCCTTCCCTCCTCACACCCCGCCACCTGGAGTGCATCCTCCCCTCTACCTGGTTGCCCCATTCTCTCACCAGGTGGGTCTCACCTGAAATGTCACCTCCTCAGAGAGTTGCCCAAACACCTTGGCTTCCACAGCTCCCCCAACTGTGCCCCCAACTCCTTCCTCCCTTCCCCGCCTCTCTTTCCTCTATTTAATCTTCACCCAGCTTCATGTCACAAAGTACTTCATCTTTTTAGAGGTTGAGGGGTACTATTTCTTTTTTCCTATGCCTAGCCTAAAAATTCTTATTTCTTCTATAATATTATAAATTAAGTATATAAGTTTTCTCTTAAATAATAAACAGAATTTTTGACAGAGAAGTACTTGAATTCAGTCTATTATTGCATTCCATGTGTGCTGATCATATTACAAGTTACATATCTCTTAGTCAAAATAACTGGGATCAGAAGCTTTTTAGATTTTGGAATATTTGCATATACATACAGAGGTATCTTGGGAATGGGACCCAAGTCTAATCACGAAATTCACTTAGGTTTCATACACACCTTATACGCATAGCAGCCTGTAATTTTATATTTTTAGTAATTTTGTTCATAAAAAAAAGTTTTTATATGTTGAACCATTTTATTACTCTTCGTGGGTGTGCCTGCATGGGGGAATCTGGGCATTTGAGGAAAAGCTACATATCGCAACTGAAGTGAGGTGGGAGGATCATTTTTCCTTGGAGACATTGAATCAACTATATGTTGTATACCTGTGTATTGACCGCAACCTGTCACATGAAGTCAGAGGTGGAATTTTCCACTTGTGGTGTCATGTTGGTGCTCAAAGAGTTTCAGCTTTTGGAGCACTTCGAATTTTGGAGCATTTTAGGTTTCAGATTAGCATGCTCAACCTGTATTATGTATTAGACATCAGTTTGTTGTCATTTCCAACAGATTACAAAAATCCAGTACTTAGCAAAAGAGCATGAAGACACACAACTGAAGCATGCTGAACTTTCACACTGCAATCAACATGCAGACAGTGGAAGAATCTGCTTCACCCTGCAGCCTGGCTCCCCTCCACAGCCCTGCTGACCACTCAGTTAACAGAAACCACTACAGAGTTAGAATCGGCAGCTCCTTCAAATGAAAGAGCAGTCTCCATACTTGACACTTTTTTCCCCATTTATAGAAGGGAAAAAAAAAAGTAGGAAGAAACTACCCACTTACTCCGGAAAAGAAGACAAGCCCAAGCCACAAAGTGTGAGGCAGGACCCTAGAACCAGCTGTTTTGGATTCTGTGACTGACACTGTTGGTCTTTAGGATGTTTTATGATAGAAACAGAAAAAAAAAGAAAACTAAGCTGGACCACGAACGATAGCAGTGCTCAAAAGGCACAAGCCACAAACAGGAAAGAGAAGACAACATGTTTCATTTGTGCTGTGAAATAATTCATGCTTTTAGGGAATAAATATTCAACATAGTGCAGGAAGGAGAGAGGCACACCCTTTGCAACGAAACATTGATAATTAAAATGAAATTGCAAAATATCATCTCTCCCTTTTCAAAGCAACAGATGGTAGCATGATCCAAAAAAAAAAAAAAAAAAAAAACAAAACAACAAACTTTCAGAATGTAAGGTCCCAGGTTGGCATGTAAAAAATAGAAGCTATGGAAAGGAAGGCAAGAAGGGGGCAGGGAGAAAGGACACAGCTAGAAGGTGAGGACAGTGGGCCTCAGATGCAGTCCCCAAGCCCGTGAACCACAGCAGAACCAAAGCAGACAGAGACCTGCAGACGCACAGGCAAGCTGGGCTGGGAGGAAGGGAGGGAGACTGGGGGCTAGGAAGTGGCCTGGTACCTGGGATAGACTTCACTTCCCCAAAGATATCATTTCAAATAAAGCCTTTCAGTTGGAATGAACACTGTTCCCAAAAAATTCCTAGGTATTTT